TCATGAGCGTTGGACTAGAGTCCCGCGAGGGCTTATTACACGCCCAGAAGTCTGGGCCACTGGACACCGGCGAGAGTAGAGTCTCACCGGAACCGTCAGCACAATCCAGGGTTGTTGCATTCGCACTATGCGACGAGTAGGCCGCTCGCGGGAGACCCCTGCACCGCCCCCGCGGCCCACCCGGCAGGGCCCCAAGCCCCAGGCCGCCGTCTGTGAATCCATTAACTCATCATGCAGCCGCCGCGCTGCGCCACGCCATATGTTGCACACAATTGGCTCGTTGCACGAGTCGCGAGTCGCGCCGCAATCATCTCGTTGCGCCTCGCCCGCCAGGACGCCGCCAGGACGCCGCCAGGACGCCGCCAGGACGCCGGGAATGACCAGGAGTCGTCACGTCACTCTAGAGGCTGTCTAGTTTGTTTCGGGGCGAAGCCGCCGGCTTGGCTGGCTGTCCCGAGCTGTCCCCACACGCCCCTCTCGCATCTTTTATGAATTAGCAGCTGCGACAAGACTGAACAAGTCCGACGAACGCGGCGCCGCAACGTCCGACCCCGTCCGACCGACCAAGACTCTTGGCGCCAATCCCTGTCAACAATGCTCAGCGCGCGGAAGACGCGGGAAAGATGGGGCTGCCGCACCGCCCCCACCGAGAATGCGAGAGAATGTCCGAAGCACAGCCAGACACAGACAACCAGAGAGTCCTCACTTCGAATTTTCGTGTAGCACACGGCTTGTTTGGTCTGGCAGATTGAGTTGGACTGGGCCACGTTTATACCTTTTCACAGCAGGTTTAAGGCTACAATAGTGATTTGGGCTGGATTGATTCTCCCGTATGAACATGGATTGTTTGAGAGACGGGCCCCCTTACAAAGCGCACAGAGACAACGTTCACGTACACCGGCAGAGAGCACAGAGAGAGACAACGTTCAGACACCGGCACAGACACGTCTTAAGCGGCGTGCCGGCCGCCGGGCGACGCGGCGCGGTTGTTGTTGCTGCTGACGCTGTGATGGTTTTTGTTGTTGATGATGATGATGTTGTTGTCGTGACCGGTGTCTTATTAGTCACCTTTAAAATCTCGGCGAGCGACGGTTCCTCCTTCACTGCCACTGCGGCGTCTTCATAGTATCCGAAATCACTGGCAACCGAAGTATCCACACACACACGCACACACAAACACTCGCGGCGCACTGTCAGCACGGTGTAGTCACAGGCCGGCACTCGTGGCACGCGCGTGACGTGCTCGTCACGGCGACGCAGTGCGTGTCACGGCAGCTGGTCACGGGCGTGGCGGCAGAGTGAAGCTGCGCGGCGCGGTCACGCTCGTCGTCGCTGGGTCGCAGGGTGGCGGCGCTCGGACTGCGCTCTCGGCTCCGCGCGGCACGGTGTCTGGAGCACCACTGACATGGGCGGGTGGCGGCGGCGCGGGCCGGGCGCGGCGGAGCAGCCCTTCCCTTCGCTCCCCACCCCTCCCTCGGCCCGGCTCGGCTCGGCGCGGCCGCGCTGCGACTCGGCTAGGCTACGCTAGGCGGCGGCACGGCATGGCTGGGCCGTGCGCCGTGCCGTGCCGCGCGAAGCAACGCGAAGCAAGCCGAGCCGATTCGAGTAGAGTCGGCGGGGGGAGGCGAGAGGCTAGGAGGGAGGCGAGGGGTGGGGCTGCCGGGGGCGGGCCGGGGGCAGGGGGTGGGTTGGCGAGTTCGACCGGTACGGCCCTGGGCTGCCCTGGGCTGCCCTGGGCCCGGGTCCGCTGCAGCCCGAGTAGGGTTGCTTTGGGCCGGGGCGTTAGCGGCAAGGGATGGAGAGAGGAGAGCGCATTGTTTTGGTGGACGCACCCTTACCCTAACGCGTCACGGGAAGGACGAGAAATACTTTTGACGCGGTCAGGAACGCGCTGTCGTCATCGGCCGGACCAGTGTGCCGACCGCCAGGCGAGGGTGCCCGGCCCGCGCCGCGGCGGCGCCCGGACCGCACTCGCCGGCTCCACCTCCGCGACGGACACGGACACGACGAGGACCTCGACGAGGTCGTCATTGAGGAGGTCATCCGGCGCGCCGCAGTCGACCTCTAGAAAGGTTGCCGCCATTAATCCGCGGTGCAATCGGCGGTGAGGGAACGTACAGTGGCGTAGTAGGGCCCGCCGCCCGCGCGCTCACAGTGGGCCAGAAGACCGGCGCGGTCGGCCAAAACTCCAGACGCGTTTAGAGCTCCGGAGTCGCTAAATGGGACTCGAACCGAACGTGTGACCCCACCAATGGATTCCTCGTTCGTAGAGCAATCCATTGGTGGGGTCACACGTTAGATTCGAGTTCCATTTAGCGACTCTGGAGCTCGTAACACGTCCGGGATGTTGACCGCTTCGCCCACCGCGGCGCTCGTAAGCCTGGCCGCCCGCGCCCTGCCGCCCCTGCCTGGCCCCTGGCGGCGAGACGGGAAAAGTGCTCGCGCCGTGGCCTCCGAACCTACTTTGGGCATCGAGCCATCGGGCTGTGCTGCCCACCTCCGCGGCCGGTTCCGTGAGCGGCCCCTGTGCGTCCGGAATCCTCCAATTGCGCTCGCCTGCCCGCCTCTGCGCTTGCGCGTGCCGAATGGCCCGTGGCTGGCGGGTTCATGCACGTTCGAGCCATGCGTTAGTTAATTTAACGATTAACTGGAGCTCGTAACCGTCCGTGATTTACCGATTCGCCCACCGTAAGGCGCCTCGTACAGCCCTCTGGCCCCTGCCCGGCCCCTGCCTGGCCCCTGGCGGCGATGACGTGGAAAAAGTTGCTCTGCGCCGTGGCCTCCGAACCTACTTGGGCTCATATAACGAGCCCCATCTAGGGGGCCCTGTGCCCTGCCCACCGTGCCGCGGCCGCGTCCCTCGCCGCGATGCAGCGGGAGGCCCGCCGTGTGTCTGCGCTCTCCGCTCGAATGCCGTCCAAATTGACGGGGGGCTTCGCCTGCTCCGCGCTCTGCCTGCTTCGGCGGCGTGCCGAGTGAGTGGCGGCCCGGCGGCCTGGCGGCGTTATGCGCGTGTCGACGCGACCTCGCCGGCGACGCTCCAGTGACGCCCTAACTTGTGTACCGAGGCGCTCTACTCGTGGCGCTCCCTGACGGCAGAATTAATTACTGCCTCAGCCACCTCCTCTGCTTGCCGTGCCGCCTGTGCCGCCTCAAAGGGAATGCCTGGCCCTCCCCGCGCCGCACCGCCCCGCGCCGTTGAAAGGTTGACCAAGTCGATTGGCGCCGGCTGAGTGGGTACTCGCAGACACGGTGCGTGCGTATAGCGCGTGGCGCGTACTGCGTATACGCAGTAACAAGTTGCACGGCAGAGCGGCGCTAGCGGCGCGCCCGAGACGAGTCGCCGGAACTGCCGCCAAGTGCTGCAGACTGATTCCGAGAGTCGCCCGTCTCTCTTGCACTCATGGGGCGTCCCGTCTAGGTGCGAGAGAGACAGAGCGACGAAAACGACTCTCGGAACCAGTCTGCTGGAGCTGGAGCGGGCTGGAGCGGGGAGGCTGCGCCGGAATTCTTGAGGCGTCACGTCGCAGAGGCGGCGGGGAGGAGAGCAAGTTTGGCTGGAGTCTCTCTGTCAAACCTATCTCGCCTCAGTCGGAATTATTAACAGTGGGACTCAAAGAGGCCTGGCCTGCACTGCCAAAGCCAGACGCGCGCCACGCCACGCCACTGCAAACCAAAACACGCCGCGGCCCACCGAATCGCCGTCGGGATCCCAATGGCCGTTTTGAATAGCGCAGTAGTAGAGCTGCACAGGGTGTGGTCTCGGATAGGCAGCCCTGCGACTCTACGCGCAGAGGCGCCCAGTTACCAGGCCCGAAACGGCATAAGATCATTCGTGGTCTGCAGTGGCGTCGGAAGCACCGGGTCAGCTGACCCCCCCAGTTTTTGAGCTGCCCCGGTGTGAGGTAGGCAACCTGCAATACCTTGGCCCCCCACTTTTTTGACGTTCCGACGCGCCTGGTGGTCTGGCCTCTTAAGGCAAGTCTAGCGCCTGCAGCGGGCCGGGCAGGCAGCACGCGCAGCACACGTGGCCGACGCGTGGCCTAGCACCGCGGCGCCGGCCCGCCATGCAGCCACGCACAGCAGAACGATTCCGAGAGTCGTTTTTGTCGCGCTGTCCTTCTCAGGCAGAGCGACGAAAACGACTCTCGGAATCAGTCTGCATAATCCAGGATTCGAGCGCCGCTCAACTCATTTGTGCCCTTCACGCCTGCCGTCTCGCTCTGGCCCTCACCACTCCCGACGGCGGGGCAGCAGAGCGGTCGCCATGGAAACGTGCCCCATTGTCGTCCTTATTACATAAACGCGGCCCTGCGGTGCCCTGCGGTCAGTTGACGTCCAGGCCCGACTCGCCCGACTCCCCACCGCCACCGCAAGCGGCAAGCCCCACGTTACTTCGGACCGCCGGGGTCCTCTGTTACGTAAGGGAATGGCGGCGAACCGCGGCGACGCCACGCCACTGTCAATAGCTGCACAGTGGGCCAGAAGACCGGTGGGGGCGGCCAAAAGACTAGACGCGTTTCGAGCTCCAGAGTCGCTGAGCAGGACTCGAATCGAACGAGTGACCCCACCAATGGATTGCTCCCCGAACGAGGAGTCCATTGGTAGGGTCACACGATTTCGGACGCCTCCGCCGGTCTTCTGGCCCACTGAGCGGCGGCACTCCAACGACGCCCCTTTCTGCAGCGCAGCGGTCGCCATGGCCTGCAACCCCTGCACGTGCATCCTGTGGTTCCTCGTGTTCGTCTTCATCTCGTGGCCCGTGTCCTGCTTCTGCTTCTTCGTCTACTGCTTCGTGGGGCCGCTGGCGGGCTGCTGCAAGGGCCTGGAGCCCCTGGCCGACATGCTCATCGAGGGCGTCAAGTACCCGCAGACCTGCGTCAAGAACATGTGTGGCTAGTGCAGTTGGTGGCGATGACCTCTGCGCCGGGGAAGTCCCCGACGGTCCGCCAACGAAATGGCGAGGACGACAGGTGCGACAAGAAGAATCGACCAGCAGCTTAATTTAGGCACTATTTTATTTATTATTTACAAATGTATTAATTAAAAACGGTCTCCACTTCACAAAATACAGTCCATGTCTCACTTGGTATGTCAAGACAGAGGCAAAGAATGGGAACACAATGAACGAAACTGATAGTACAGAAAATAGAAAGGGGAGGTTTTGTTTTGTAAATGCACAAACTATACAGGAAAACAAAAGCCGGCGCCGGGCGGCCGGTTACGCTGAAACATCACATTTAGTTTGACTTGACTCGCTCGTATAGGTAAAGGTAGCCCAGCTCCTTGGGCGGGTTCTCGGACACGGCCACCTTGTTGTCGTTGTAGATGACCCACTGGCCGTCACGGCGGATGTGGCACACATAGTGGCCCACCATGGTGGAGGTCCCCATGTGCGAGATGAGGGCGGCCAGGCGGTACTCTGCAAAACATCGGCGCGTCCGGTCAAAATCACGGCCAAGGAGGCCCTCGCCCAGTGCACTGTACAGTACGAGGGCCTCGGTGGCCTGGGACGGATACTTACGCGAGCTGCCGTCCCGGAACTCGGGCTCTGCCGACTGGCCGCTGCCGGAGGCCATGTCGTCGTCGAGCTCCTCAGGGTGGCTGAAGACCCAGTCGGCGGCGCGGTCCAGGGCGTTGTCCGTCGCCTTGAGGGCCTTGACGGCGTGCGCCTGGGAGAAGCCCAGGTTCATGAGCTGCGCCACGCTCTCCTCGTTGGCCACGAAGCCGTCCTTGCCTGCAACCAGAGGGAGGTCCACCGTAAGCGCGCTTAGTTCCGCCGCGAGAGTCGCGTGCTGCCGCCGCCGGGCTTGAGGTCGCACCTGCAGCGGGGGCGTGGCCGGGCGGGACGAACGGGTCGCTCAGGTCGGGGTCGCCGATGTGCTCCATGATCCAGTTGGTGGCCGCCTCCATGCTCGTGTTGTTGGTGAAGTACAGCGCCTTCTCGCAGGCGGGCCGGGGGAAGCCCATCTCCAGGAGCTGGGACACGAGGGACTCGTCGTACACGGGCGCTGGCGGGGGCGCGCTGTGCTCGGGCAGCGCCTCCTCGCCGGCCTGCATGCCCAGCCCGCGGAGCGCGCTCAGGTCCAGCTCGTCAGGCACCTCCACGGCCACGTCCAGCTTCTTGGGGGTCCAGTCCTCCTGGATGGTGAACTTCTTGAGGTGGATCAGGAGGTAGTCGGGAAAGGTGGCGAGCCGCGTTGTCCTGCGGGCAAAAGATATTGGTTGGAGGTTGTCGGGAGGGAGCACACTGACAGCACGGAAGGGAAATAATGCAACTTACTTGTTGGCTGTGACTTTGGCCTGACAGGCTGTGCTGAAAAATCCATTGATGCTCTCGCTCTGGGTGAAGGAATCAAGGCAGGAAGATAACTTGATCCGCGGGCGCACAATGGGGACATTGTCTCTGCAATAACGGACAAGCATCATTCAATTTCCTATCAAGGTGCGAGAAAGGTTGAAAAGGTGTGGAGGCATGTACTTACAATTTCACACCCTTCTCCTCAGCATCTTTCTTGCTCTTTTCATATGCTGCCACTTCCTCCTTGTTGGTGGCTGCTTCCAGAGGAATAGGCAAAGGCAAACTGTATTCTGCTCGATGCTGGTACTGAACTTTCTTGGACTCTGAGCATTCATACCGTTCCTCCACACGAAATTTGAAACAGTCTGCAGGATTCCTGGAATTCCTACAGTTTCGCTAATATTTTAACAAAAGAAAAAGTGAAAATGTACACATTAGTTACAATCGCACAAAAGCCACAGTATAGAAATGGATGATGTTAATTTGTATTACCTCTAGAGTGTTGACCAAATGAAGGAAAAATTCCTGAGCATCCTGTTGCCTCTTTGTTGCAAAATCAGAGTTTCTCCCAATGAGGTTTTTGAACATGACAGGAGATATGCCTTCCTGCTCAGTATCCTTGGAATCTTCTGGGGGAGCCTTGGAATATTTACCAGATAGTATTCCAGTTCCCAATTTGGCCCTAATTTTTGGGGGGATGGAGGGGAAACAGGATGATTAGTGAACATGATCTGCACCAATAATATCAACTTCCAAAATATCAGCTTACATCTGAAGATTGAAATCGGAAGACGGATCTGCAGGGATGTTATGAAAGATAATGGGTGCTTCATCCACAAACCTGAAATTTAAAGGGAAACTTAAAATATGCAAACAAGCTAACCAAAATGATTGAAACAATATAAATAGTGCAACCACACAGAACCACACACCTCTCCACAAAATCAGGAATGGCGAACATGACTTGCATGACACTATTAAGATAACAAGAGTTACCCAAGTTAGCCAAACCAGTATAGCCAGGTCCATAGAGAGGCCTTAATTGGCTGCCTGACTCCTGAAGCGTAAACCATTCTCCCATTTTCTGATTAAGAGAGAGCTCCAACTCCAACATGGATTTCTCAGTCTGTAATACAAGGCAGAAAATTGTTAAAGATGTGTCAGGAAAATTAAAAATACTATGCCCACCACATGCATTTTTTACCTTTTCCATGTTAGCAATATTGATACCCCAGTGAGCCAAGTGCTCTTTCAAGTGGGGATCTTCAACCATATCATCTTCATCATAGCTGAAAACATCAGCTTTCCCATCCTTGGTTATAGTGCCCAATTTCACAGCAAGTGGATATCCTGAAGAAGATACATGTTGATGTACTCAGCAGAGCTTGTTCCACAATGTTGATCATAGTAGGATAAGCTATAGATGAGCAACTCACCCGAAGTCCGGTAATGTTCCACAGCATGATCATTGCCACCAGAACCATCAAAGAATTTACGGCCACACAATATTGACCCATCAGTAAGATTAAGCCACAAGTTTGTGTCAAGATCACATTTTTCACATTTCCAACCACTAGGAGGAATTTTTCGGCCATTATCCAACTGGACCAAATTTGAAGCATGCCTGAAGAAAAATTTGATGGTGAAATTATAGTATATATGTTTAAAAATGCAAGGCATTACAAAAGAAAACCAAACTTAATATTATTGAACTCACTTTGAAGGGACTCTCACTTCTCCATCCCATGTGCCTGTCAATGATTCAAGTTCAGCAGCTTCTGTAACTGACTGGGCTTCAAGAATGCCATTCACTGATGCCTTGATCTGGAGAACAAATTTGATTTGCAGTCTTTCTCAAAATATCATCGGGAAACATTTGACACTTCATTGATGTGAAGTCATACCTTATCAGGGAGATCATCATTAGGCCAAGGAATAGTCACAAATTCAGGTAATATGACTATTTGCTGATGGTCTTTAATGTCAAACTTCTTACGACCAGAATCTGGATCAAAGCCACCATCAACGCCAATAGCAAGGCGGGTGATCTTTTTCTCGGGGCCATCACCTTGTTGATCCACAGGTATCTAAAAATTGAAAACAGAAATTAAGCAGGCTGTTTGAATTTAATAAGGAAAGTCTTTAAATCAGACCAAAACTCACAGGTATTTTTTCCCGTTGTAAATGAAGAAAAAGATGCCGACCAGTCTGCTGGCTGTAAGGTAGTACAAAGTCCTTGCCAAAACCAAGAAAACTCTGAAGACAGACGTACAAGCCAGTGGGAGTAACCTGTTAAAAAACAACATGAAATTACACACTGTGTCTACGATAGACAATGAAGTTGTTTTTGTCATGAGGAGAAGAAATAAAAGATTTCAAGCCATCAGGTCTGTATGTCATTTCAATGGAATTATGAAATATGATTCATTCAAAAGTACATGACATAGCAAAATAAGTGCTTCCTCTAATTAATGTACATATGAATTAGACGTATATGGTGAAAAATCTAGGTGACTGATAGCCGTTCAAATCGATACCAAGTGCTGTTTAGATCGCGAAAAGGCTAATTAAGTGACAATTATTTCGTCATAACCTAACAAGGCCTCACCGGGCGGTCTGACTTACTGGCGAATCGAAGGAGAAAATACATTCTTCTTTGTAGACTTTGTCTGACCTCGATGGAACTCGAGCACTGTCCATATGGACAGCAAGCAGCGAGAGTGGATCCATACTTTCACAGTGATTGACAAAACCGCAGTTTTATGAAGAGTGCGATCGATTCAGAAGACAGAAGTAAACACGCTCGTCCTCCGCGCCTCTCTCCCCTCCCCTCCTTCCCCTCAGTTCCCCTCCCCTCCCCTCCCCTCCTCCTCTCCACAAAAAAACTACATGAAAAATATTTGATTCATGTGATACGAAAATTATGATTGAGTAAATTCATGATGTTTACTTTCCCTTTTAAATTTTTAGTTGAGGTTCTTGTTGCTGTGATGAATAAAATACTGTAGTGAAATTTAGGTTGGCAGAACGATTGGGCGCGTGTTTACAAGTGTCACGTTTCCTGTGCTGTTTGGTTGTTCTGCTTGTTTGTCTGCTGGACTAGGAAGCAATTTGAAGTCCTCCCAATTTGTCTGTTTCAAGTAATGTGACACATCTGCCGCACTCTGTGTCTACAAGTGCGGATTAAAACTGCTTTCGAATTGTGTGATTAAAAAAAAAACTTGTGTCGAGCGAGCCCGACCAGAAAATACATTGCCCAATGGCTGTAGGTTATGTTTGGAGCAGGTCTGCTTGTACCTGGAGAAGTGCTCTCTGTTTTCCACTTCTTCCTGTGATGAAATTGAATGGCAATCCGCTCCAAGGTAACCGAACTATGCTGTTAGTACAAGCACGACAACTGTCAAAAGTCAACAAGCAGCAAGTTCCTCCAAAACAAACTGTCAAACTGATGAATGACAAGCTGTCCCCTTATCCGTATATCATTCCCGAGCAAATGGAAAACTTCATCACTGGAGGAGACCCTCAGGCCAAAATGAAATTACAGGCAGTGCTTCTGCTCATGGCTTTCATGAGAGAACGAGGTGAAAAGCTCCCAGAAATATTGGATTCACAAAACTTTCTTGAAATGATTGAATGCAGTGAACACGAAGTTTACAAGCTCATTGAAATGTATAATTTTCACAGTAATAAAAACACCTTATCAGTGAAAATTAAAAACGATAAAAAGCTAAAAAGGAACAGCGTTAATCATAAAGAGAGTTCTCTGGCCAATGCAATGAACAATAGTTTGCTTTTTCCTATTTCAAAAATAGACCAATCACACTATTACAACACAAATTTAATACAGGTATACGACTTTTCAAAATAGTCTTGTTTTTTGAAAAAGAAAAACTGAACTGTAAGAGTGCTTTGTGTGTTTTAGGGACTTCTGTTTGGTCAACAAATCGTATTCGACTGTGCATTTGATGACTACATGACTTTAATAGAAATAAAAACTACAGCAAAACATCTTAATGATTGTATACGACATAATAGAAGAAGTCTCAGGCCATTTGGACTAAATTTCTGTAATGTGGAAAGCAACGGAAAGTTGCTCCGCCATCTGAAATTACATAATCCTTCAATCGAAAATGACCTGCCAGTGAATTTGTACACCTCTTCTTACCTTGATGTGTTCCGAAAGTATGTTACCAAAACATGTCTTGTTCGTCCCTATGTTTGAATATTAGCCTAATGAACGGTTTGTTTTATTTTAGGGAGGATATAGTTTATTTGTCACCTTTTGTACACCGAGAATTTGAATATCATCCCCACGACGTGTATGTGCTGAGTGCTCTGAGTAATAACAACCCTCTCTGTGTGAAGAAAGCTAGAAAAGAAGGTGTCAGGTGTTTTAAACTGCCATTAGGCTTTTATGAGATGAAGAGAAGATCACGTCTTAGCATCAATGAGGTATGCAGTATGTTTTTTCTTATGCCATATAATTGTACATTATGCAAAAAAGTTAACTTCGGATGACCGGATTATTTTATTTCAGGCGTTCAAGAAGCTGCTACTCAAAAAGGATACAGGTGAATTCATGAAAAAAAAAACAACAATAAAACATGATTTTTGTTGAATAAAAAATTAGAAATTTTAATCTTGGTAACAAATTGAAACCCCTCCCCCTATAAAATAACAAGACACATAGCACTGATTTCCCTCTTCGACCCCGAAATGGAGGAGGGGGCGTAACTATGCGACCGGCCCAAACATCGCTCTCTCACCACTCACCGACTTCCTCTTTTCCTCTTCCTTCTCATTCTCATCTTTCTCTCTCTTCTCTTTCTCTCTTTCTCTCTCGCTCCGCGCCGCATCCCCCGTGTCCGTGTCGTCGTCTCCGGTCGTCGTTTTGCTGTCAAACAAGATGGCGGTCCTAGCTGCGGCTGCGTTGCTCGATGAGCTTATGGGAAGAAATAGAAATGCTCTTGGAGATAAACAGAAAGATCTCAATTGGGAGGATCCAGAGGTGAGTCTAATTTTCGTTTGAATGGCTGGTTATTTTTTGACTTTCACGGAGTTTGGACATCGGGGTGGGGTGTCGTGCAGCCTCTGTGGACGCCTCCATTATTGTCGAAATTGCATATAAGTGGCACCATTTCAGTGAATTTTCTTTGATTTCCTTTATTTTATATTGTTCAATAAATCTAATTTTGAACTCCCTTCATGCCACTGTAATCAAGTAATTAGAACTGCAAAGTTTAGAGCAGTTCATAACCTCAACAGTTTTCCCTTTGGCTCTGTTTTCTATCAACATTTCTGAAGTTATTTTAAATGTATTGCTCGGTCTGAGGTCAGCCATAAACTTTTTGTGTTATTCACCCATATTTTTGGTAGCTTCTTGCACAAGCTGAGATATTTTCATGGGCATTGGGAGCTGTTGTCTTGGATTTGTTTACACTTTGGACTGAAAGTGAGAAGCAACTGGAAAAGGGATGTTTAAACCAATCTTTCTTTATAAAATGAGACTTTTCATTTTTTAATTCTTTTTTTCAGTTTTGTAAGATGCACATGGTGAAATTTTGTCCTCATGATCTGTTCGTCAATACACGTGCTGATCTCGGAGCATGTTCTCGTCTACACGACGATGAAGCCAAGAACCAGTACGAAAAGTCTACTAGTTATAAGAAGCAGCAATATGAAGATGACTTTGTCCGATTTTGTCAGGGCATGGTCAGTGAGGTCGAACGCAAAATAGCCAAAGGAAAATCCCGCTTGGCTTTGATTACGAAAGCTGACACAGTATGTATTTTCAACCTTGATTCATTTAGCGTCAATCGTATCATGTTGATTTTGATTGTTACATATTTTTGCAGGCATCACTCACACCAGCCCAAACACAACAAAATACTGATCAAATTAATCTGCTTTCTGAAAAAATTAATAACCTAGTTAGCGAAGCAGAGCAAATGGGTACTCAAGGTAACGTAGAAAAAGCCCAAGGATTGATGAAACTGTGTGACCAGCTGAAAGAAGAACGGGAACAGCTGCGTAAACAGAATGATAACAGCCACTGGCAACAGGTATGTTATAGAAATGCTGTGCATGACAACCATTTTTTTCTGGTTTTTTAAATCAGTTTCGATTTTTATTAATTTTTTCTTTTTTGGTTTCAGACTGCTGACTTGGCTGCAGCTCAGGAAAAACAGATGGAAGTTTGCGATGTATGTGGTGCTTTTCTAATTGTTGGGGATGCTCAATCCAGAATTGATGATCATCTCATGGGGAAACAACACATGGGTTATGCACGGCTCCGGTCTGCCATTGAAGAAATACAGGTATTTTAAAATAAATCCTATTTTAATATTGTACTATCTATTCATAAGTAAAAGTGTTATTAACTTTCCATGTTTATTTTTTGTTACCCGTCACTTTTAGTCCAATAGGACAAAAGCGAGAGAAGAAAAAGAAAAGCGCAGAGAAGAAGAACGAAGGGAAAGGTACAAAGCCAGGGATGAAGAAGAGAAGAAGAAAGAGCGTGAAAGAGAAGAAAGAAGGAAGAGGCGCGAAGAGGAAGAAGCATCCCTAAGGAGGAGAAACAGGGAGAGGTTGGATTATAACAATTTTCTCGTCCACTGAGTTATGTTTTTGTCACTTCATGATGATTATATCTTATTTTATTGAATCTCTAGAAGTCCGGGAAGACATCGCAGGAGAAGTCGGAGTAGAGATCGTGAAAGGCCTGCACGCCACGATGATCGCCATGGAAGAGAGCCAAGAGATCGTGACAAAGAAAAACACAGGTAATCGTCCAAAATTTATCAACCTCCACAGTTTTAGAAAAACTGCGTGTTACACAACATAATTTGTTTTCAGGGGTTCATCTATGCAAGGTGGTCGTGACTGGAAGAATTCCTATAGGGGTGATCGAGGTGATGAACAATATGAGTACCGGCGTGAAGATGACCGGGACCGACACAGAAGAGAGAAAGGTAAGTACCTATTACTTCTTGATTGTCACTTTCAAAAAGGAAAAAATGTTGTGAACCCCTTCAATTTTTTAAAATTATTTCCAGGCATGAATGGTGAGGCTTCTAGACACAGCAGCAAGAGCCATCACCACCACAGTAACAGATCTCATCATCGGGAGGAGTATGAGGAGGAAAACTCAAGGAGCCGTCGCATTCAAGATGCTTATGATGAAGACCACATCAACAGTCACTGATCTCTGAGGTACAGGCTTTCTCTGAAAGGTAAGTGGATTATTTGTGCTCACTTCACTTCAGTTTTCTTGCTTTCACTTCACACAATTCGATCCTAAATTGTAACAGATTTAAAAAAAAAATAACAACTATCCTGAAACTTAAAAAAGAAAATCACAAATTTTTGAATGCTTGTCCATAGTGAAACATTTTTACCTTTGCCTTATGCTTGTTGCTCTTAAGGGTTGTGTGAGGTGAATATATTAGAGTGGTTAATTGCTGAAGATATTCCCACATCTGATTGAAGCACTGTACAGTCTCCAGAAGGTAGCGAGATTGTTTTTGAAGTGAACTGTTGAGGTTTATTTTTCTCTGAAGTAGTGTCAGTGGAAGCATGTGACTTGGTTCAACTTTAATGGGCCATAATTCTTATCTGCAAGACACACGCCTTCTTCTCCTTAGGGTTGTTATCCTTTCTGTACCATTTCTGTTCTTCTCTTTAGTCTCCAATGGATATTTCCATTGAGTATAATACCTTTGGTGAAAAGCTTTAATTATTCGTTTAAAAATCTTTAGTTGTATCTCTCTACCTACAGTTTTCTTTCACTACACATTAGCTTTTCCTCTCTGTTCTTTTATACATACACTTACTATCTGTGTAGCTTGACGCAAGTTAACTGTGGCTTTCTTCTGTGTTGTTGCAACAGTACAAGTACTTGCAAAAATTTGCTTTGTTTTTTTAGTATGTTGTCATCGGCATCTCCAAGCCATCGCGGTTCATATTGGAATCGGAGGTTAGTGTATAAATTCATATGAGGGCTTCAAGTTATTTTTTTAATTTTTTAATTATTTTTTTAAAAGAAATATTTTTTTGCATTCGTTTATGGTTTGGTTTAGTGAAGTAAATGTCCTTTTCAATTATGGATAGGCAATTTCCTTGTCCATAACATGTTAACTCTGAAATCATTTCTGGTTTCTCATCAGAGCATTTCATTGAGGTGCATGTGTCATATTTCTCCAACAGTGTGATAGCTCTATCTTTCCTATTTTGAGGACTTCTTTGCTGGTTTACCAAATACAGTGTGCGACTTCAGCTTGTTTCTACCTATTTGTGATACATTTAAGACTGCTTTTGTAAAGTTAAAAGTTTGCTATATACAAAAATATGATTAAATTATTAGTTTTAAAAAGTGGCTTTTTTGTGATTTGTGCCTATATTTTAAAATTGGCTTGATTTGCTTTCCTGGCTTTCTAAGAAAGAAAAGTCTGACTACATATACAGAAGATTTTCTGTGTTCCTACTGCAACCCCTGTTTGAGGTTCTTTCTTTCTCTTTTCCTTGTTTTCTAACTTTATTTAAAATTATTATTAAATCTTTCAAGTCAACACAACAGTTAGTGTCACACCAAATTTAAAGAAAAAAAAAGTCGTGTAGCAAAGCTGGTACTGATGCACTATACATGCAAACACACATGTGCATCTGCCAGAAAAACCATGTTTTCAGTTGGTTTTAAACCCTCCTCTTATTTTTGGTTGTGTGTGTGTGTGCGTGTGTGTGTGGATGTTGAGTTGTGTTCTTTCCAGTGATTGGCTAGAAAGATCTGCCACAGGTGGAGCAATTCTTCTGTCAGCAACCTGACAAGCATTGGGCCCCGCCCCCGCACCTTGCTGGTTTAGTTGTTGTTATGGTTGGATCACATTGAGGTATTTATACAACCAGGTGACCCTCATCACTCATCCAATTTCGAGGGTGTGCGAATCCTTGCGTTACCACATCAGAATCTGACTTGATTGCTGTCTTTCTGTCCCTGCTCTACATCCTCACCTGTTCCCCTGTGTCCCAGAGGCCTTTCAAACATCAGCTCTTATCATTTTTTTAATTTTATTTTAAAAGAGTATCTCTATGTGTTCAAGCAAGAAGATGACTTTTCAGTGATGGAGCAAAGAAGATTCCTACTTTCTGCAATGGAATACTGCCAGCAGCTTCTCTAGGTCTTTTCTTTTTGCACTCTTTTGAAGGGTCTTTTTTCCTACTGTTTTTTTTTTTTTTTTTAAAGTAGTTTTGTAATGAATTTTGAATATGTCTCCCTAACCTTTCCCTCTGAAGATTTACCTCAACTTTAACAACTCCTCCCACCACCTCACAGCTTATTAGATTCTGATTGGTTATTGCCGAACTTCGCACACCCTTGTTGATTTCGTATGTTTTGAAGTATGCATTGTTAGTGGCAGCTCCAATTCGCAATTCTGGTTTGGATAATGTGTCCTTCATTTGATTGAAAAGTACTTAAGTCACTGGTTTATTTTCATTGGGCATTGTTTCTTAGCTTATGGGGGAGCTTCCAGTGAATTCATATGGATCACATAACAGTTCGAAGAGTGAGCATATTTATGTTTTTTTAGTTTGCTGGAATTTTTTTGTTTACTCGTTGTATTTGCCTTGATATCTACTTTTCGCCCAGCAAGTGAGCTCTAGACACCTTTGTATGCTTTTATCTCCTGCCAGATTGATTTCTGCCCTGAAAACGCATCATGTCCCTTGCCTGTTAGCTCCTCCTATGACAGGCCAGGAAGCAATGGCAAAGACTTGGGCTTGCTGGTGCTGACACATTTCTTTTGTTGCACTTTTGTTTACTTGTTTTGTTTCCTTTCCAGCAATTGGTCACAGGGTGCTGATATCGCGGATTCCATCAAGATATCCTCCCATCATGGATGCCCTGATGCCATGTTGCACATCACAACATACCGTCTGTCAAGGTGATTTATATTATAAGAGTAGTTCAAGTTAAGAAATGTTTTAATTAGAATGTCTTGACAGAGTTTGGGGTATCATTCCATGCATAGCAGGAAAAGGCAGAGAAATCAGAGAATTTTATAATTATAGTTGTTTGCTTGACCTTTTCTTGAACTCTTTGATGAATCAATTTGGTAGATTGCCTGAAATAATAACAACAAAGTGCTGAAGCCTTTCAGCTTGCTAAGCATTTTTCTTCTAACTTTAGGTTAAACCAAGCAACTTTTCTGCCTATAGTGCACAAAATGAAATGATAACATTTTCCTCTTCATTTTGTAAGCTCAAAGCACTTCCTTTGTTAAAAAAAAAATGCAAGTTGCGTTTCCTGTCAGGCCCTGAATGCTGTTCATTTAAGGAGTCTTTTTGTATGGATAGTAGTTATGAGTTAATCAATTTGGGCTGTGATCTTCTCTGGAGAAATTTTGATCATACCTGTTTGTGTGCCTTCTGATGCACTTTATTGTATTGTGATTAGGAACTTGGCGTGTCTACATTCGTCCTATGTTTAATATTGGATTTTATCCCAATAAATTTCAAGTGGTATCCATAAACTACTTTAAAGCTTTTGTTATTTCTACACCCTGCACCCTGCACCCTAGTATATGGATATTGAGAGGGCAAATGACTCAAACAGTACTGTTTTACTATTTTATTCTCATAGGCAAGGTCATTTTTAATCATTACATCACACATTTGTGCCTAGTCACATACATCTTAAATGTTACTCAGTTGTAGAAAGATATATCTAGTAACATTAACTAAATTTTCTAGATTGCCCTAAAGAGAACATCTAGAGAGAATCTTATTGATGAGAGGAACAATTAGTGAATCTTACATCATGGAAATGAGTTGAGTTATTAAAGATCAGTTCTTAAAAATTTATCAACTAACAAAAGAGCACCTGCAAAATCCGCTCCGTATTGCTTTGCAGAGTTCTGAGCTCAACCCTTCACATCACTCTTGATATGCTTCTTCATAATAAAATGTCCTTTATCAATAACTAGTTCTGTCAATTTACACTTAAACCCAATCTTCATTAAAGTTGCCTCTTATCAATATTTAGAATTAGTTTGGACATGGCACAGTATGGAATGAGTATATGGAAACGTCTTGGAGGTTGAATACCTCTTTAAATGCAATGTGTCCACAAGCTTCAGAAACTGTCTGAAATTAATTCTTTATTTTTATCTAATCTTACTCAGCACTGTCAGACACTCGTTGAAAAGGAAAGTAGAAGAATAATGAACAATTAGAGAAGCCTTTTGCTTGCCAGACTTGACTTCGTGTTTTTCATTCAAACGAGCTTGCATAAATTATGAACTAGCCAAGCCATTTTAAATCTCACCCAGAGATTATTAATTTTGAAATTCTCATCTTTTATTCTGAAAAATGATCTTGAGCTGCATCCAACTTTCCAGATTATAATTGATACGTCATGAGGCTCAGGACCTATTGCTGATGAGATCATTTCTCAGAGAGATGCTTTAATTCGGGCTAGAGTTTTGCAGAAACACTGCTAACCAGTGCCTGAAGGGTGCGAATAGGCTTGTAAGGCATTTGTCCATGTTCTCTGTGACCAGCTTTAGTTCACATGGTTCATCAAAACTAAGAACAAGATGAATCACAATCAGATAAGCTTGTATGCCCCACATATTCACAAGCAGTGTTGGTCATAGCATAGATCACGCAAACTCATAACACAAAGTTACACTAACTGATCTCCAATTGGTTCGAAAGAGAGAGAAGAAAAATTTATCACAGATATACAGGCTTGCTAGAAGTGGTAGTAACTAAGAAGGTTACTATCTCGCAAAATTACACAATTCAAAGTCACAGACAGGGACAGGTCTACAATCGATCTACAGAGTCCACATGCACAACTCTCACTAACAGACCTTTTTTTTTCCTTTTGAAAAGTCTCCTTACAATTTATCACTTATTTTTATGAGGCTTCTGTTTCACCTCAGGCTTCAAAAAAATCATAAGATTAATTATTTCACTCTGAAGATACAAGAGTTTGAGAAGCAAAAGTTTGTCCTAATAATTTGAATGTTAAAAAAAAAGGTTTTCATTAATCGAGCTAAATTGTTTAATTGCCTGTTGAAATCAGTATTGTGTTGCCTTGGACAACTCATACGACCCTCATGCATTCATTAAATTTTGCTTCATTACTTTTGATGATTGTCATTGTACTTTGGGCAATCCTTAAGCACGCTGATAATTTATTGCACTCTATTAGCAGAGGTGCGCCTTTTATACTCATATGCTTTTCGATTACTTTGGTTACTCCAACATTGACCAAGTATTTCCTCTCTGAGATATATTATAAAAATATGTTTATTGTTTGTATTTTTTAAACTTCATTTTGATGCATATAAATTATTTATTGCTCATTAGGTGCAATATTCCTGACTCATGCTTACCTTGCCTCAAATATAAAAATTATTATTTGTTTACCCTGCTTTTACAGAAGTAATATGAGTGTCTACCAAACAATTATTTTTAAGACAGTGCCTCTCAATTGAAGGCGATGGAAATACTTGGTCCTTAGACATATACCACCTTACACAACAGCAAACCTTTAATAAGGTGATGTTTCAATTCCACATGCAATTTACAAAACGCTGTTGGAATGAATAGCAAAGCAGGAGCATTTTGATTGAGTTGACACTGAGTTGACTTTATGAATTGAAGACACTAATAGTCAGTAACAAATCAAAACCACATAGTTTTAGCTAAATGTGGTGAAGTTTTATGGTGCTTGGATCACACATTTCTGTTATAGGCACCAGATCCATGAGCAAATGCATAAGCATAAACATTAGTAACTTAAAAGCGAGAAATATCTCTTTCCCTCATGAAGTTGATATCACTGGCGCTCATAAAAAGAACCCTCATAGGCATGTAATATCAAAACCATGAGGTACAGAAAAACAATTTTTCACCAAGTCTTTGAAACATAACTAAGGCACATGTCTAGAAGGAGCATAGTACCCAAATGCCTGCAAATTCACAGCACTTTTTGACCGATTCACCAAAGACTTAGTCTTTCACTGTCTTTAAACAAAAATTCTGAATTTTAAATCATAGGCCAAAATGGATTAGACACAAGACGTGCTTTCTTAACAATATGAAGGTCACTGCACTCACATGCAAATGAAAACCATACAACAACAATGAAAATAATTTAAGGAACGACACACTCTTATAATTCTTTAACACTGTCACAGACTCTCACAGAGAGTTAATTGTCTCTTTGACGAAATACCTAAAACACACTGGCCAGAGTGTGCATGACAAAAATAACAACACCAAATTTTACACTGTATATAGTCTTCCACAAAACTATTTGAAAATAGGATTTTAACATTTTTTTTCAACTTTGATCAATCTCTCTTCACTAATTTTACAACAAACAACAATGAAATCTAAGTGGGGCCGGAGGGGTCTGGGGCAGGGGAGTTGGGACGGGGCAAGGTTGGGGCGGGCGGGGGCACGAGGCCCCCTGAGGGGTAAGGGAAAGGGGCGGGGGGGTGTGGGGGGTGGTGCGAGGGGGGCCGACTGCCGGGGCCGCCTTGGCTCTGGTGGCTGTAGCTGTCGGACGTGGTAGTATCACAGAAGTCGTCAGTGCGGTCAGGCCCCGTCCCCGTCCTGCTCGCGGACATGGACATGGTCCTGGAGGTGGGTGCCACGAGGGACGTCTCGTCGTCGCAGTCGGCGTCCTCGTCCGCCGCCGCGATGTCCTCGCTGCTCACGTGCAGCGTGCGCAGCAGCGCGCGGTGCCTCTGTGCCGCCGTCGAGGAGGCCGTGATGAGCATCATCTCCTCGCCGTCGCCGCCGGCACCCCCGCACGGCGTGGCCGAGTCCTCGTCGTCCGTGGACAGGGCGCGCACCGCGGCGATGCAGTCCACCTGTCGCGAGGAAGATCGTCAGACCGGCAGCACGCCATCGAGGAGCTCGCCGCCACCAACCACGCCATCACTCACCTTCTCCGGGACGGGCGGCGGTTTGCTGCGGCCGAGGTTGAGGCTCCCGCGGCCGTAGCTGAAGCCCTGGCGGCCCTGGGGGGCCGAAGGCGGCGCGGCGGCGCTCTGGTTGGGCGGCGCCGACGCGGGGACGGAGACGGCTGCCGTGGCGGGCACGGCGGACAGCACGGCGGCGACGGCGGACGGGGTGAGCCCGCCCGCCCCGCGGGGCGCGTGAGCGTGCACGGTCTGCCGCCGCTTGCTGGGGCCCTGGTCCGGGCCCTTGCCTTTGACGGAGGCCTTCCTGCCCGCCATGGACGGCCGGCGCCACTTGCCGAACATCGAGGTGGGCGCGTTGGCGGGCGGCGTGGAGGGTTCTTTCTCGTTGACGGAGATCGACGTGAAGGTGAAGTTGGCGGGTAGGGAGTACACCTTCGCCAGCGGACGGTGGCCCTGCGCCTGCGCGGCGGCGGCGGCCTGCAGCATGCGCTCCTGCACCTCCTCCAGGAGCTCCTCCTGCTCCGCGGCCAGCTCGCGCTCCAGCTCTCGCTCCAGCTCCACCTCCATGTCCATCTCGTCCTCCATCTGCAGCGAAGAGGGCGTCAGGGTCGGCGTCAAGGGCCGCGTCAAGGCCAGCACCCGGCCCGGCCACCACTCAGTGGCCCAGAAGACCGGTGGAGGTGGCAAAAATTCTAGACGCGTTTTGAGCTTCAGAGTCTTTTAAGAGGACCAATGGATTCCTCATTCGAAAAGCAATCCATCGTAGGGTCACACGCTTGGTTCGAGTCCTGTTTAGCGACTCTGGGACTCAAAACGCGTCTAGAGTTTTGACCGCCTCCGCCGGTCTTCTGGCCCACTGTGCACCAGACTGGCTCGGCTTCACCAAGGCTCACCTGCTTGTGGGACTCCTCGAGGTGCTTCATGAGCACGGCCACCACCACGTTGACCAGCACGAACTGCGCCATGAGCACGAAGATGACGAAGAAGATGGGGGCGATGATGGGGGACGCGCAGCAGTTGCGCACGCAGTCCACGTGGCTGTCGCACGTGTCGTCGCGAAGCGTGTCCTTCATGATGCCGTTCCAGTTGTCGCCCGTCGCGACGCGGAACAGCGTCAGGAAGGCCATGCCGAAGTTGGCGAAGTGCGCGTGCTCGCCCAGGCCCTGGCAGGGGAACTCATCGCTGCACTCTGCGGGCGGAGCAGGGCGGAGCGGGTAAATTACTTACTGACGTGCGAGGAAACACTGTAAAAACTTGAACACGAAACGAGAAAAAAGGATCTACCCAGGCGGCCGAACAGCTCGACGCCCAGCGCGGCGAATATGAAGAAGAGCAGGAAGAAGAGCAGGCCCAGGTTGCCGACCTGCGGCAGGGCCTGCATCACGGTGTCCAGCAGCGCGCGGATGCCCTTGGCCATCTTCAGGAGCTTCAGCACTGCGGAGGGAAAAAAACAACGGGGAAACATTAGCCTCGCAAAGAGAACCGCAATGTCTCTGAATGTTACGGCCTGCGCCTTACCGCGCGCGATCCGGAGCACCCGCATGACCCGGATGATGGTGGGGTTGATGGGGATGATCTTGGACTCCAGCTCCTCCAGCACGATGCCGATGACCGACAGGATGACAATGCCCACGTCCAGCTGGTTCCACTTGTCCTTGAGGTAGATCCGCAGCCCCAGCGCCACCAGCTTCATGGTCAGCTCCAGGATGAACACGGCGGTGAAGAAGTAGTTGAAGATCTTGAGCGCGTAGGACAGGGGCTGGCGAAAGGCGAATCAGTTTAGTGAAAGCAGTTTAAGGTGGCGCGTGCGTCAGGTGGGGGTTGAGGGCCACGCACCTTGGGCATCATGTAGAACTCCAGGGCCATGGTGACGACGTTGAGGCCGATGACGGCGGCGATGGCCAGGTCGAAGTACTTGGACGTGACCACGTTGTGCACCAGCATGCGGCCCTTGCCGTAGCCGCTGTAGTAGGGCGGCTCGTGCATTCCTGAAACAGCAAAAATTTGTAAACAGGGGTAAAAACTCGAGCGACTCGGTATTCGATCCCGGGAGCGGCACTCACTCCGCCGCTTCTTCTCCATCTGCTTGGCGCGCTTGGCGAGGCGCCGCACGCGCTCCTCCTTCTCCTGCTCCTCGCGGCACCGGTGGAAGTTCTCGACGACCACGCCGACGAACATGTTGAGCACGAAGAAACCCACGAGCAGGATGAAGGAGATGAAGTAGAGCAGCCGCCACTCGTTGTAGTTCTCGATGGGCTGCTGGTCCACGCCCACCGCGTCCAGCCCGGTGTACATGATGTTGACCCAGCCGTCGCGCGACGACAGCACGAACAGCGACATGAGGGCCTTGGGCAGGTCGTCGAAGTTGTACTTGCGGTTGGTCCACTTGTTGCCGCGAGCCTCGCACTCGGTGCGGTTGCGCACGTTCTTGATGTTGGTGCCGTCGCAGTAGTAGAAGGCGCCCTTGAACAGCTGCACGCCCAGGATGCCGAAGATGATGAAGAAGGTGCAGCAGATGAGCACGATGTTGCCGATGGGCCGCAGCGAGGACAGCAGCGTCTGCACCACCAGCTTGAGGCCGGGCGCGCGGTTGATGACGCGCAGCGGGCGCAGCGACCGCAGAAGCCGGAACACGCGCAGGATGCCGAAGATGCGCGGGCTGCTGGACGAGATGAGCGACATGAGCAGGTCCACGATGGAGATGATGACGAGCGCGCCGTCCATGATGTTCCAGCCCGACGTGAAGTACGCCTCGCGGCCGTACAGCATCGAGCTGTCGATCACCTTCACCATCATCTCGACGGCGAACACGGCCGTGAAGATGTAGTTGGCCGTGGCCAGGAACATGCGCTCCTTGGAGTCGGGCGGGATGTTGGGCCGCTCCATGGCGAGCGTGATGCAGTTGAGGCCGATGAAGAACAGCACCAGGTTGTCGAACCAGCTCTTCTGCACCAGCTCCTGGCACCACAGTCGAACCCTGCGGCCAAACAGGTAGCCTTCCAGTATCCACTCACGATCAATCAAAAACAAAACAAAAACGTTTGGTAGTTGGTGTTGACCTACCTGTTGTTCGGCGGGAAGATCCAGAGGGAGTACTCCTCGCGGTGCCTCAAGAACTCCGGGGGCTCGATGATGTAGAGGAGCTTCGGCGGCAGGATGGGCGGCGGCGGGGTGGCCGCCACGGCGTCCTCGGCCTCCTCGCTCAGCTCCATGGCCTGCGCCTGCATGTGCTGCAGCTCCTGTGCGCGACGGCCAGGCAACGCCGCCGGCGTCAAAACAAAGCACTCCGAAAAGCGAAAAAATGATCCTGGTATGCGGAGACTCACCTTGAGCTGCTGCTGCAGGATGGAGGAGCCCAGCGAGAGGGAGCGCGTGCTGAGCGGGGCCAGCGGGTCGAGCATGAGGTCGCCGTGCGAGTCGTAGCCCTCGGCCAGCAGCAGCTGGTTCACGGCCTGCGTGTGGAGGTGCGCGTTGGCGCTCAGCTCGTCGCACTGCAGCGAGTTGGACCGGCGGCTGGTGCTTCTGGGGGAGGAACCAGATCGTCAGAAAGGCCTCGTCTGTCAGTTTCAACAAAAACCTGGCGGTGACGACGCACATGTACGACCGCGGCGGGCTGACGTTGACGGTGGCGGGGAGGTCCGGCTCGCTGGGGATGTGCACCGACAGCGGTCCGAACGGAAGCGGTGACGGTGGCGTGGACACTGGGGTGGGGCTGGGGGCGGATCCGGGGGGCAGCGAGGGGGTGGCGGAGCGGCCAGACCACGAGACCCGCCCCCGCAGCGAGTTCTGGGGGCTGAGGCTGGGCCGCCTGGACCCGCCACCGGGACCGCCACCGGGACCGCCGCCAGGACCGCCCCCGGGCGGAGGAAGACTCAGCGCGCCGCTCAGCGCCCCGATGCTGCTTCCGTTGTTATTGTTGTTGCTATTGTTATTGTTGTTGTTGGCGTGCACGTTGTTGTTATTGTTGAGACCCTGGAAAGGCAGAGGCGTTGGTTAGAGCGATTAGACCCCGGAGTCCGTCGGGGAAGGGCGGCGAGGCTGACCTGGGTGTCGTTGCGGATGGAGGCCAGCAGGCGGCCGTTGCAGGTTGAGTGGTCGGCGCCCAGGCTGCTGTTGTTGAGCGGGACGTCGTCGGCGTCCTCGGCCTCGGACCCCGAGTGGCGCCGCGACTTGCGCCGCAGCGACGGCCTGGCCAGCTTCCAGGAGCAGACTCGGCGCAGGCAGGGCGACACGCTGCGGGCAGGGAACACTTAGAAGGCACGCGTAGTGTCCGGCAGTGCAGCGGTCCGATGACCAGTGCACAGTGGGCCAGGAGACCGTGGAGGCGGTCGAAATAAAGGACGGGTTTGAGATCCAGAGTCGGTTGGTGATGTTCCGATCGACCGTCCGACCGAGGGACACCTCCGCACACACGCGTACCTGCCGGTGCTGTCACGCCGCGCCGTGCTGGAGGACGCCAGGCTGAGGCGGCGGGGCGGCGCCGGCGGCGGCGCTTGGGGCTGCGGGGGCTGCGGCGGCTGCGCGATGGACTGCTGCAGCGGCGTCTGCTGGGCGGCCGGGGGCGCCGGGGGCGGCGTGGGCGCGGGGCTGGGGGCCGCGGGCGTCGGCGGCGTCCACTGGCTGTGGCTGTGCACGTTGAACTTGTTGTCGGGCGGCTTGAGCAGCGACATGCTAGTCTGCGAGGACTGCAACGAACGTGGCGCCGGTTAGCAGGGGGTTCACAGCAGCGGGGCGATGACGTCAGACTCGCGTCACTCACCACCGAGCGGTCGATGGAGTCGATGGACAGCGTGGAGCCGGCCAGCAGCGTGATGGTGGGCAGCGCGTGGCGGCCGCTGTCCGTGGCGCCGGGGGAGTCCTGCGGCGTGGCTGCAGTGTGCGTGATGACGGGTGCGTCCCGGCCGAACAGCATCTTGCTCTCTGCGCAGCCAAAGCAACCGACGACTCAGTCCCGGGTTCGATCCCCACCAAGGCCATCACTCCGACCGCGCTTCGAGCGCCGCCACGCCTTACCTTTCTGGATGTTGCACTTGGGGTCGGAGCCGGTCTGCAGTCGCTGCCAGTTCTCCTTGTCGCGGTGCCCGTTGTCCCGCGCCTTGCGCCGCAGCTCCTCGGCGCTGCGCCACCGGTCGCGCAGCGAGTCGCCCTGCGCGTGGCGCGGCAGGCCCTCGTGCAGGCAGCTGCTGGTGTCCGAGCCCGAGCAGGACCGCGACGACCCCGTGCCGTTGCCCATGGCGTCCAGCTGCTCCGACAGCTCCGAAAGCTTGGCAGCGTGCTTGGCCGCGTGCTTGGCCATCTCGCGCTGCTCGCGCTCGCGCCGCTCGTTGCGCTGCGGGAAGGCAGTGTCTCTGTCTCTCACGCACTCACGGGGCGTCCCGTTCAGGTGCGAGAGAGACTGGTAATGGCCGAGCGCCCGCAAGACGGCGCATAGGCCACGCGCCGCGCTGCCGTGTCGCGGTGGTGCCTACCCGCCGATCCGCAGGCGCTCGACGCGACACCCAGACTCACCTCTGACGAGAAGCCCTCGACCAGGATGGCCACCAGCAGGTTGAACAACACGTAGTTGCCGAAGGTCATGAGGGCGACGAAGTACAACGCCGCCCAGTGGCTGGTCTTCTCCATGCCGTTAAACAGCACCACGTTCCAGTCCTCCTGCGTCAGGATCTGCCACAGGGAAGGTTAGGGCACGGCCACGGGGCACAGTGTGGCGGCACTGGACTCGGAAGTGACGACATTTGTGCATTTCAAGCGCCTCTGCGGCTTTTTATTGTTATTTTAAATTCAAGTTTTATGCTTGAAAATAGGACAATAAGCAGTTACTATAAATCCGCGTTAGTTCGTTCATTAGTTACAACGGCAAAGTGCAAATCAATAATATGGGCAAAAACAAAGGCACAATCAAAACTTAGCACACATGGACGGTAGCATGCCGGTAAGACAATAATGCATGCTTCTTCACGAACACAATTTTTTCCACAAGTCATGCAAAAATTCGGTCCGTGCATGCCATGCTCAATTTGATGCTCAAACATTTATCTCCCAGAAAACGCGGCACTTCAAAAGGTTTTTTTTTTTGCTATTTTAAACCGAAAATGCACAAGTGAATCACGATAAAAAGGCGCAAAACATTCTAATTTTCAAAAAAGTAGCAAACAAATAATAAGTCTGAAGCAAAAGAGCAAGGTGGTGTACGCACAAAAATATGTGATCGAGGAATAAAAAAGTGTTTGAAAAAATCTGCTGCATGCAGGCACAGCACACACCCAGTGCGAAATGGACTAGAGGGGAAAGTGCATTGAAGAACTCAGACAAGCTGAGAAGTGCGACGCCACCTAGCGGGAGAGGGCAAAACCACAGGCACGACCACAAAAGACTAAAGAGTCACTAGTCATCCTCGAAAAATGCATTCCCGATCTACACCGAACCGAACTGCTCATTCCAACGCATGTCACTAACTATCACAAAGAAATACCAACGACTAGAAAAAGAAAACGACAGTCATATTGTGTCCGAGGCGAGTCACTAGACGCGCGTTCCCGCGCTTTCGTTGGCTCCAGGGCTTACCTGGAAGACGGTCACCGTGGCCCAGAGGATATTATTAAAGTGCTTGCGATCGCAGACGCATTTGGGGTCTCTCTCGATGATTTCGGCACACGTGCACCGCCGCGAACCGTCCGCAAGCATGCAAAACTTACCGCCAAACAGGTACATCCCGAGGATGCTGGCGGACAGAAAACAGAGAGTCGTAGCCAACACGGTACCGCACGCCCCGTGTTTGTCTGTGTGGTGGAGGCCTGGGTGGAGGCCTGGGCACTCCTTGTCTACCTCACGGCCGCCCACCCTCTCGGCCTCCTTCACCTCCACGGCCTTTGGGCGCCACGGCCCCTCACAGCCCTCTTGACCACGCTCGAGGAGGGCGGGGCGGGCAAGCGAGGCCGAGGGAGGGGCGGAGGCTGGAGGCCGAATGCTAGAAGCCTACAGTGCAGGAACCGGCTCTAGGTCTGGCAGGGCGGGCGCGAGCGACGAGGGTTGCAACGCTCCGAGAGCCCGTCCAATCGGCCCGCCGCCGGAGCGAGGCAGGTATTCAAACAGTGCTACTCTACGAAAGAAATGAACTCGAAAGAATAAATATAAATAATTTGGTGAACGGAGCGACGCTAATGCGCCCTCGTGGAAGTGGCAGGCTTTCACTCTAAGCTAGCGGCATCTATTGGACGGGCTCGAGAGAATGTTTCTTTCTTTTTAAATTTATTTTATAGAGTGGAATCAAAGTTGTATTTGCGGCGTCGATTGGAGACCCTGTTGAATTGAGAACATTTATAGGGTGATGGAAATGTGTCGCGGCTGAAGACAAAGCTGGTTTAGAAAACATGTTTGGATTTGAGTTCGCTGTTTGTGTGGCAGCACTGCAGCTCGGCCAGGTGTGGTTTGCAGATGTTGGCAGCCCTGCGTATGTTTTGAGCCTGGCCTGTAAGTTGCAACATGAGATGATGTGTCAGTTAAATCAGTGTTTGCTCGCTACGTGACTCATTTCGGGCCAACCTAGTCCAGTCACCTTATGGTCCATTCGAAGGGAAAAAAAAACCTTTTAGAGGGTAAGAGGTCAAAGGGAGAAAATGACGGAAAAAAGGGGTTCCATATAGCGAAGTATAGAGACAGAAAAAGGTGTGAAAGTGAAAATAAGAGACAGAATAAGAAGAAGTAATGGAGTCAAGCCTCCACAAACATTCACTCAGCGATCTGAACACGGTTGTTAACTACTCTACTGTATGAGCGTCATCTCTGTGTCGAGTATGAAATACAGCAATAAAGTTGTGTTTCAGATGTTTTCACTTTTGATTTAATCCCGGAGGAAACGCATGCTTAGCTGAGAAGTCTCCGCCTCTCCTAGTTGATTTCTCGGTTCATCTCGTGTCTGTGGAAAGTATCGTGGTCATCTTCAGATTTTGGGACATCGTTTATTTAGCTCTCGGTTCGGATTAGTTTTGTCTTTTCGTGTTGAACGTGTATTATCATTATTATTATCCATTTAAGACGTTTATTTATCGTTGATGATTAACCCGTGTAAGCTGTTAAAACTTTTAAACTTTATTGTCTAGTGATTATTAAATGATCATTAACTGTTCTGAGTACGTAGCGTCTACCATTGCTACGTCTACCCTGTGTGCTTTTTTTACGTACCTGAACCTGAACCCGGACGCGACCCGACTACGCAACAGATGCAGTAGTGCGGTTCGGTTGTAACTTTCTAAACAAGATACTCTATCCAATATTGTTGTGGCGTCGGCCAACGGCTGACATAAAAAATACCATACAAATATAATAATACCAACAACAATAGTATAAAGTAATATAGTAGTAAATAGTAATAATAACAATAATACACACTACGTGGTGCAGAACGGTACGAAAAAATGATCGGCAGGTGGAGGCGAATGCCACCGTTAAAAAAGGACAATCTTAATCGAGTCAACCATCGCTTTTGTGATTGTGTCGACCATTGTCGCATACCAGTGCGTAAACACAATACAACTGAGGAAGACCAGTCAAATTTTCAGTGGATTCGATCGTCCCTTTTTAACGGTGGAGGTTCTACGCGACGAGGTGGTCGTGTCTCTATTTTCTAGCGACGAGAGCGGAGCCGAGTGGGGACGTCTGATGAATGGGACGGATGGGACCTTGGACGGGACGGCGCGCGGCGCATTCAGATTCCAATGCGTGCCGTTCGGGGCGTTCGGGCCGTTCGGGACGACTGGGGGCTGAAGGCTGAAGCCTGAAAGGCGAGGCGGCTGCAGAGAGGCGCCCGGCCCGGCGCGCGGAGTCTCAGAGGCGGGCGTCGACGCGCTGGCGCAGCTCGGCGCAGCGCGTCACGGAACGTGTCTATTCTACCTTCTACCGCACGCATCGCTCGACGCACGCGGTCGGCCTCGCGGCCCCGGTGACCTCGTGGCCCGCAGAGCCGTGACCTCGGCCGCGGCCTTGTGACTGGCGGTCTGTCACCACTGCACTATTGGTTCACCGTCAGTGCTCCCGTTGCTCTACGGCGGCAGCGCGGCAGCTCGCGTCTACGGCCAAGCGGGGAAAGACCAAAAGGCTCCCGGTATGCGCGGGGCGCCGCCCTGCACCCCCTGCAGCGGTGTCCTCGTCCCAGGCAAGGCGGTGTATGCTCTACGTCAACAACTTCTACGCAGTGTCTACGGAATCGGAAAGAGAGTGGATGTGGAGAAAACGGCCCGCGGCTTGTTGCAAGCTGGCAGGGCTTTACTTCAAGTGCAGGCGCCAAAGTAGCCTCGCGTGAAAGGGACGGTCTTGGTTTAGCCCTCTTCCTCGCTGCCAAAGCGAGCTCACCAACACTACGGTGCGTGCGGCAGACCAAAAGTACTAGATACGCAAAGCGCGCGGCCTACAAAATGCGCGCCAAATCTAACCAACCGCACTGCGCCTCAGGCGGCCGAGGGCTGGTCGGAACTGTCAACTCTACCAAGGCCGAACGGGCAACCTTCTCTCCCCGCGGTGGGCGGCGGTGGGGACAAGCGCGAGAACACTGATAACCAAGCGAAACGCGCTGTGCTGCGAGCCATCTACGCGTTTGCTGGCATGCCACGGCCATGCCACGGCCATGCCACGGCCATGCCACGGCCATGCCACGGCCATGCCGGACAGGCAGAGCTGGCAGCCTCACGTCCGACTTAGCGCAGACACAAGCTGGCAGCCGAAAGGGCCTTCGGCGAGGCCCGAGGCGAGGCCGAGGCCGTAGGGGTGCGGTTGGACGTGCGCAACGGCTAAAACGAGTGCCAAGCGGAACTTACGATGCGGGAAACAGAAATAATAATGAAAAACAAGAAGGCAAGATAAAAGGAAGCAAAACAAAAAAACAAAAACAAAACACAAAAAAATAAAAGTGAAAAAAAAAAACAACAAACAGGAGCAGAGAAAAGTGAACTCAAGTACCTGGAAGACAGTGACTAGGGCCCATAGCAAAGAGTCAAAGTTCTTGCGATCACACTGTTCACTGTCGGACTTGTCACCCGTTTCTTTTCTGCAGAACTTGCAACCGAACAAGTTCATCCCAAGTATACTACAAGAGGGACAAAATCGCCATCAGATCAAGTTGAAACATGAACGGAGCGGGGGAGGCGGGAGTCGGGCGGCCGTGGGGGGCGCGGCGGACCCGCCGGAAGAATGCGGATCGGATTTAGAGAGAAAGAAAGGAAACTGTATACACGCCTCACAGTGCTGTGGCTTTTGTCTTCGTTTTTACCGCACTTTTGGAAACAATACCGGGCATTCTTCCCTCCCTGGCGCCGACTCCCACCACTCCCTGAAACACAGCACGCCACGGGCCGCAGGCGGGCGGGCCGGCCGCCGGGCAGCCGGCCAGCCAGCCAGGCGCAATCTGCAGCGCACACTGCGATTGCCCACCACCACACCCGGGCCAACAATTAGAGCAGGACAGAGCGAGGCGTCGTGATCGCCGTCTTCTTGGCCGCACGACGGTCACTGCCTGCAAGGACACTGCCTGCAAGGACACTGCCTGTAAGGACACTGCCTGTTAGGACACTGCCTGCGAGGACACTGCCTGCAAGGACCGCGGCGAGGCGAGGCGCGGACGACGCCAGATTATTGCTTCAAAAGAAATTTCAAACTCGGCGCGCCCCTTTCTATTAGGCCGGCCATTTCCCTTCGGCCCTCCGGAGAAGATTAACGCGGCCTCGGCCGCCTCGGCGGGGATCACCGCCACGCCACCGCAAAACTCGACCGGAGAAATCCACATTTTACGCTGAAAGTTGCGGAGAGGTTGCGGCCGAATGACCGCCGCAGCCGCGCGGCGCCGCGCCAGCCGCACGGTGGACGCGCCTCGACACTGGTTAATAAAAAAGGTAGCAAACTCCCCCCCTCCCCACCAACACACTCGAACGGGCCACACACCCACACACAACAACAGGCCCTCATGTCGAAAACAAAAGGCACAAAGTTACACTTTATCAAACGGAAAAGAAAGCCCCTCCTGTCAGGAAACGTAAACAAACACGTGGCTTCCTCTCGGGCGACCGGACGCTGCTCCAGGGAGGGAAAAGAGGGCATGGTTAGACGCGGCCGGCAGAGACGGCGGCGGCCTGGCGGAACTCACCTAAATATAAAAATAAAAAGAATGAGCAGCGAGAAGAAGATGGCGACGTTGTCCATGGTGCGCAGCATGACGAACAGCTGGCGGCGCAGGTTGGGCAGGAAGCGCACCAGCTTGAGGATGCGGAGCAGGCGGAACGTGCGCAGCACGCTCAGCCCCGACGAGCCGCCGCGCTCCGAGCCGTCCAGGCTCTGCTGGCACAGCTCCACCGCACTGCAACAACCGGGAGGCTCACAGTGGATAAGGCCGGACACGTTTTCAGCTCCAGAGGCGCTGAATGGGACTCGAATCGAGCGTGTGACCCCACCAATGGATTGCTCTCCGAACGAGGAGTCCATTGGTGGGGTCACACGTTCGGTTCGAGTCCTGTTTAGCGACACTGGAGCTAAAAAACGCGTCTAGAGTTTCGGCCGCCTGGTCTTGCCGCGAAACGAAATGCCGAGACACTTTGAATCTGCTTGCCTTAGAATAACGATGACGCCGTCGAACACGTTGAAGCCGTTGCTGATGTAGCCGAACGGGCCCTCGGCCGTCACCTTGAGCAGCATCTCCACGGCGAAGATGGCCGAGAAGACGATGTTGCTCGTCTCGACGGCCACGGTCATGTACTCGGGCTGCGGCAGGCAATCGGGCGGTCTTATTTTGATTCGGTGCGACGGGGAAAGAGGTTGTCTCGCGCAGACATGCGCGGCTTTCAGCCAGAGATAAAGAGGCAGACTGCGAGGATATTGTGCGCCCCCCTCCCACTCGCCTCGGGCCCTTTTGTCGGGCATTCCCAGACATTCTATTCATAGAGGGGCCGGCCGGGCCGCCACAGTCACTGACCTGCTCGTGGTACTCGATGCCCATGCTGAGCGTGTTGAAAAGGATGGCGAGCAGGATGCCCTGCTGGAACCACTTGTGCTCCACGAGGCGCTTGACGAAGCGCCGCGCGTTGCGCAGGCAGCTCACGGTGCACGTCTTGGCGCGCACCAGGCAGCGTCGGCGGCGACGCAGCGCCGTGTCCCCGCCGTCCAGCATCACGGCCCACTCGCCGCCCTCGGCCTGCCGGAAGCGTAACGTAGTGCTCAGCGTGCTCGCGTGCGGGGTCGCGGTCGCGGGATCGAGTCCCAGTGGCGGCGGTTCGTTTTTTACCTGCATGGCGCACGTCTGACACGCGCACGACGCGCACGTGCAGCAGTCGGCGGCGTTGCTGCGCGCGCTGCGGGGGCTGCACGTGGAGCAGCAGCAGCAGGACGCCGCGGTGGCGGACAGCTCCTGCTGCTGGCGCTGCAGGGCCAGCGTGTCGCCGATGACGACGCCCTTGCCGAGCGTCGAGAAGAGCGAGTTGAGCGACAGCGCCGTCTGGCCGGTGGGCAGGGCGGCGCTCAGCGCGCCGGACAGGGCGAGCAGCTCCTGGCACGTGAGAGGCTGCGGGGCCACGGCCGGCACGGCGCCCGCCGCGCTCGCCGCCTCGCTGTCCGCCGTCTGCGTCGTCTTGTCGCCCTGGCCGGGGCCCTGGCCGGGGCCCTGCACCAGCACCACCTCGTTGAACATGACGGAGCTCCGGCGTCGGGGACCGCTCTGCGAACCGCCCTGCGGCACGGTAGAATCAACAGAAGGGAAGGCAGAGCGCTGCATCAGTGCGGCGAGGAAGCCCAAGCGAGAAGTAAGTGTGAAGCACACGGGAGTGGTTAGACGAAGGAGAAGGAGTGAAACCGTTAGTGCGCACTGCCGCCGCTAGGGCCGTGCAGCGCGCTGGCGGGGCAGCGCAGGGCCTTGGGCCAGCCTTTAGTCCGGCCCTTGGGCCTCTACAGAGTGGCTGCAAGTACAGTCGGCGATACGTGAGAGGGTGACGTGTCCACAAGAAACGAAATGGCAAAGTTCCAACCAACAGATACCAACAATGGCCGCCCAAAAAGCTGCACAAGAAGCGAGAGTGTTAGTCGGCATGCTGCGCAGTGCCTGCCCCTTGGCTCGGGGCCTCGCCTCGCCTGCACGCAGCCTCGTTGCCTCCACGCAGTGCCACGCAGGGCCACGCACCTCGCTGCCGGGGACGTCGAGGCACGTGCTGGGCACCCTGAGGAGGGACGGCCTGGGGGCGGGGACGCCGAGCGACCCATCAGTCTCGGACACCTCGGCCGACGGCGGGCCTGTCCCCACCCCCACCCCCACCCCCGCGGCCCGGGGCTCGGGGCCTGCTGTTGGTTCCTGCGCGCCAAGACAGGGATCGTGAGGGCCGGGTCATGGTTCGGGGGTGCATGAGCTGGGCCAGGGCCTTGGCCGCCTTGGCCAGGGCTGCGGGCCGCGGCCGTGCCTTGTCGCCGGGACTGCAGCAGCGGGACTTTCGGTGGTGTCCGCGGCCCACCGCGCGCCGCCGCGTCCACGCACATTGCCGCAGTGTCGCGCCTCGCGCAGTCTCACCTGTGAGGCCTCCTCGCCGGACTCCCCCGCGGGGGGGCTGCCGGACCCGGAGCCCGAGCCGGAGCCCTTCGGGGAGCCGCCCGGGGCCGCCTTGGGGCCGCCGGCGATGTAGGGGCCCAGCGCCCCCACGGCCGACGCGGCGGGCTGGTGGTTCACTTGCTGCTGCTGCTGCTGCACTTGTTGCTGCGTCTGCTGCTGGATCTGTTGCTGCTGCTGCTGGGCCTGCTGCTGCTGCAGCGGCGCCATGTGGCAGTTCCGCACTGCGTAGTTGTTGTGGTGGTGGTGATGGTGGTGGTGGTGGTGGGCTGGAAGCAAAAGTTAGTCCGTTTAGATCACGCGCCGCGCGTCAGGAGAGGTTCACAGTCGAAAGCCAAATTCAAGGCGCATCACCACAGGGGAAACTGTGCCTCGTTGAGAGTTTTGACTGGAGAGACTTGAGAAAGGTTATATCCTCTCTACTGCTATTTTAATTAACATTTATCACGGTACAACGTGTATATTTTTCTCCGAGGCACCGACCCGTGAGATGGACAGGGGATTCCTAATCCCCCGGCCGCAATGGCCAGCAAGCGCTCACTGTTCACCCACCTAGATTTTTCGACGTGTGGTGGTGGTGGTGATGATGGTGGTGGTGATGGTGATGGGGCTTTCGCACCCAGTCTGAAACGGAGCGCGCCGCAGTGATTAGAGGATGCACACGCAGGTCCAGCACACAAAGTGCACACGCACACACACACAGACACACAGACGCGCGCAGCCTGCGCAGCCTGCGCCACGCAACAAGTCCGGTCGATAGGGCGAGGTGCCCCCGCGGCCCTCGCCGCCCTCGCGCTGCCCTTGTAGGTCGTCCGGGGTCACGGTGGCCGCCCTGCAGTGCCCTACTAGTGCCCTACCTGCCCTGCGGACTCGTTTCGAACAGCGCCTCACCGGTCTTCTGGCCCACTGTACGGAGGGAGACGCACGTCGACGACTCAGACTCACCCGAGCAGGAGCCCTTGTGCGGCTGGTAGGGCCGCTGCGCCGCCTTGCGCTGCTGCCACTGGTACCTCAGGACGCGGTACTTCTTGACGAGTCGCCGCTTGCCGCGCCGCCAGAGGTGCGCCACGTACCTGCGGACACACAGCCACAACCACGCCGTCAACCAACGCTCCGACAAGCCGGCACCGACGTCGCGAAGCGTGGCGCACTCACTTGACGATCTCCGCGTAGCACGACGTGGGCTCCGAGTTGTTGGTGGACGAGGTGAGCGTGGACGTGGACTGGAAGCGCGCGCGCTCCAGCCGCATGCGCTCCATCTCGCGCTTCTTGGTCTCGGAGAACTGCGTGGCGATGACGACCAGGCACAGGTTGATCATGAAGAAGGAGCCGATCTGCGGACAAGGCGGAGCCGCGGAGCGGGGCGCGCGTCAGGACCGTCAGGACCATCTGGGCGCCGAGGGGAGAGACCACCTCCACGCTGGTCTTCTGGCGCACTGTGCGGGTGGGGTACTCACCACGATAAGCAGCACGAAGTAGATCCAGTCCCAGAAGGAGTGCGCGTCTTGCACGTAGTACATGATGTCCGACCAGCCCTCCAAGCTGATGACCTGTGGCACCACCAAACACACATTGTTTGACTAAAACGCGCAAAAAATAGGATTTTCTTGAATATTTGTTTGCTTACGTCAATACTTCAAGAATATAAATAGGGGTACGCCGACTGAAATGCAATCCATTACTGATCCACTCCACCCAGGAATACATCACATGTTTGATTCGGGTCCTGCATCTTATGCCTAGAGTAGTTAGCAGTTAACTGGCCCCCTCCCCACCCCGGCCAGCCAGCCGCTCGGGGGCGGTGTGATCTTGAGTGGCGGTGTGGGGCGAGGCGAGGCGAGGCGGCCACGTTTGATCCACCGGCCCCGCCTGCCAGCCCCGCCAGCCAGCCCCGCCTTGCTTCCCTAATGAAGCTGTCGGCCCCACATTAAGGCCGGCCAGGATGACGAGCGCACAATTACACGCGGACACGCAGACAGCACACTGATTCCGAGAGTCGTTTTCGTCGCTCTGTCTCTCTCGCACCTTTAAGGGGCGCCCGCGAGTGCGAGAGAGACAGAGCGACGAAAGGGGCTCGCTACGCTTGTTACGGCCGCGGCCAAACAGCGAGCCCTTTAAAAGCTTTCGAATCAGCTTAGGGCGGCGCGGCGTGCGGCTGAGGCTGGAGCGGGCTGGAGGGAGGCTGGAGCGAGGTGACTGACGGCGGCCGTGGTGGGCGCTGGCGGCCCTGGTGGGCCGGCTTGTCTTGGCGGGCCGTCCCTACAAGGCCCACATTTGCATAATCTGCCCCGACCACCGCGACCCACCCCACCCCGCCCCGCCCCGCCGTCTCCGCGACCATTACTCAGCACCTCTTTATGTGACCCGTAAACGGAGCCGCGCTTGGCGCCGCCAGTCGAGGAGCCACTCACCAGGAAGATGGCGACCCAGGCCAGGCCGATGTTGTCGAACGAGATGGTGCCCTGGAAGGGGTTGTTGCCGTTGGCCTGGCAGTCCGTGTAGTACAGGTTCCAGTTGACGCACGTCTCGTTGGCGGACACCTCGTCCTTGAGCAGGCTGTACACGGCGCGCTGCGGCGCGGGCGCGGTGCACGTCACGTTGCCGATCTTGTAGGGCGGGATGTCGGAGCACAGGTGCATGCCGTGGTCCTCGGGCTTGCTGCAGATGTAGTCCTTCTCCTGGTCCATGAGCTGGTAGTACTGCACGAGCGGCCTGCGGGGAAGGACGCGTGTGAGTCCCGCCTCCTGGGACGCTCTGTCTGATTTGATTTCGGGTCCAGAGAGTAACCATGTGTTCCGTCTCATGCAAACGGCCTCGCTGCACTTTGAGTTTCTCAAAACCGTTTCTTTTGGCCAATCTTTTTGGTTCAGAGCACGAGTACACACAAGCAACGTGAAATTTACGAGCTGGGACCCATACGTTTCTAGTCTTGCCGTGTACTTATAGTTTTGTGTAGAAAATGTTCTAATATTTACAGAAGCGATCATCTAGGCACACCAGAAATATCAAAAAGTATCCTCCATGCACTCTCCGGAACATTCTTCATTACGCAATCAACAGTGCTGAATTTTCCTTCAACGCAGCTAGTATAGAGTAATACTGAAAGATAAAGTCTCAGTGAAGTGTTGACAAGGGTGCTTTGTGGTGTACTGGCTCCATGCACCGACAAAATGATTTGCTACATGCTCGAAAGCTCAGCAAAATATTACTTCAAAAACACTGACCACGTCTCAAAAATAGCAGTGGACGCAAAAAAAAAGGTTACAAAAATTTTAAAGTCAGAGAAATGACAGGATTTGTCAACCAGATTCGACTTTTCCGTACGAAAGGGCAAGGAGAAAAAGTTAAACTATTTAAACGATCGAAACCGTCTCACAAGACGGAACACAAGTACTTGACAGGTCTTAACAGTGTGAAATGAAACGCATATAAACTGCTCATTCACTCTGACAAAAAAAAATATTATTGAAAAAAAGAGGTTTTTAAAAAGACAGCGGTCCACCACAATGAGCTCTATGGAAACGAAACACGAGGCGAGCCAGCGGCTCTAGAGGCACTGCTACACTAAACACTCTTAGCAAACACAGAAGAAATCACAACCCGATGAGCCAGAGTACACTGTTAATAGTAACGTCGTCCACGAAACAAGGACTCAAGCCATAAAGTTTGTCCCTGTCCGACTTGGCACCCGCCCCGGCGCTCTGCGCTCGCTCCGCGCTAGGGTCCAGACGGCCCGGACGCAATGAAAGAAATTGGAGGCTATCTCTGATGCCGTTGGGTCGGAATGACGGCGGGAACTATGAAAACCGCACTAGAGATTTGTAAACCCGAGGCAATATCCACGACAAAAAAAAGAGACATGACGAAAATTAAGTAATACTCTTGCGACAAAACAGCTTGCTTTAGTATTGATTCGTGATGAGACATCGGGGGTGTACCAAGTCAAACGGGACGAGAGCGAAAAAAAAGGGGTTGAAAAAAAGGAACAAACAAACGAACAAACAAACCAGAACGTATGTACAGTACAATACAATAATAATTCAAACACAGGCATCGACGAGAGACCACCGCACAGTAAGAAGGGAAACTAGTTGAAGATGAGTCTAGTTGTCACAGGCTGCAGGCAAGGAACCTGGAATGGTGAGCAGAGCAGACCAAGCGCCCATCACGGCCAAGAGAGGCCATAGTAAGAAGCCCCGCGCCCCGCGCCCCCGTGCCCCGCGCCCCCGTGCCAAGGGCCAGGGGCTCTACCCCGAGCCAGGAGGCCTCAACGGTCAGTTCAAAAAGAGTGCGACGCGGTGAGCAGCGTTCGTGTGTGTGAGTGTGTGTGTATGTGGCGAGTTCTTTGAGTGTGTGTACGTGTGGGTGTGGCGGGAGCGCGGAGCGAAAAGAAACTGATACGAGCATCAAGCATTCCAGTGGTATGGCTCCAACCCAAGCTTACAAGGTCACTCTCGATCGAATCGTGAACTCTTCCTCTAGATCCCTGAAACAGACAGTGGCGTGAGCAGACACACGACAGTGCATGCAGCATTGCAGCGGCGGGACGTTTAGGCCGACAGTCCCGACAAGGTGGCAAAGGGGAACGCCGTTTTGCACGGTTCCGTTTTATTTACAAAAGATTAGGGAGCCGTCGGGAAATTCAGGTGCGGATCCAGGGGAGGGGAAATGGGGGTAATGACCCCTTATTGGGGTGCTAGACAGGCTGCCTGGAAGGTAGGCAACAAGCACTGCCTTGCCCCTGTGCGTCGGTAAACAGGCAATAGTTTCCTCCCTCGTCACAGAAAATCCGCGTCATGCCATCGCGCACCGTAGGCGCTACACTGCAGGGAGCTGGGACTCGCGCCGGGTGGGCGTGAGTGCGTGACACACACACACACAACGAAGCGACGGCGGCGACCTCTTGGGGAAGAAAGCGGGAAGGCGGCAGAAGCGTCCGCGAGAGAGGAATCTGAGTCAAGAGCAGCAGCGGCTGGGCGGACGCAGAGCGGACGCAGAGGGACGCGCGCGGCCGCGGCCGTCAACGAGGACGAGTGCCTCGTCGATCTGCAAACGGCCGAGCGGCGCGGCGGCGGCGCGCTCTTGCCATGCTTCTGCTAGAGCGGCGCGGCGCAACAGTGTAGGGGCAGGCGACTTACTCGAAGCGGATGTCCGTGTCGGTGCGCAGGTAGCAGCGCTGCCGCAGGATGCCCTGCCACAGCTGCACGCCCACGATGCCGAAGATGAAGAAGACGAAGAAGCAGAGCAGCAGCACGTTGCCCAGCATGGGCAGCGTGTCCAGCAGCAGCATCACCAGGATGCGCATGCCTGCCAAACAGAGAGGGGGCGAAGATGAGGAGTCGGCCGTGTATCTGCCGGGGCACCGTAAGAACAGCCCCGGGCGGGGCGACGCGGGGCGTGCGCGCGCATCTTGAATGCGAATGCAGACGCGCGGGCAGGAAGGCGGGCAGACGGCGAGGGGTGGGATGGGAGGGCAGTTATGCGCTGCAGTTGGCTGCACTGCCAGCCCATCTTGCATGCCATGCCTCTCGTTATGACTCACAACAAGCGGGGGGATGATGGCGACCGGGATCGCTCGGGGACGCCACGCCACGCCACGCCGCGCCACGCCACGCCCGTCCCACAATCGGCTGCTGGCTGCAGTCCCAGTGAGAGCCTGGTTGGCAACACTGCGAGGCTGGCGCCACTTCGCACCGCCAGGCCCGCCAACCGCCAGGCTGGCTTTCCTGCTTCCTCACTCTAGTCCGCGTATAAGACAGAGCTCACTTACTTGGTATTCTGTTGATGGCGCGGAGAGGTCGCAGCACCCGTATCGTTCTGATTGCTGTAAGATTCAGATTCTCCACCTGCAGGCAGTACTCCAGCGCCCTGGGACGGAGAGAAAGAGGATGATTTAGTCATAGTCGACCAGAAGACCGGACAGAGACAGCGACGACAAAGCCTCACCCAGCCAACACGATGAAAAGGTCCAGCCTGTTCCACGAGTCAGCCAGGTACGCGCCCTTGCCGTACGCCCCCATGGCCACGATCTTGATGGTCATCTCGACGGAGAAGAAGGCGAAGATGAGGTCGTCAAACAACTGCAAAGAGAAAGCAAAACGGCTCCGTCGTCGCGTTCGCAAGAATGTGTCAAAGGAAAGATGAGTGGGGTAGCTACCTGCAGGATCTTGCAGCGGTTGCCCTGGCACTCCTCGTCCACGCACGGCTGGTACATCCCCAGGGTGATGCAGTTCAGCAGGATGACCAGCATGGACACGCGCTCGAACCACGTGATGCAGGAGTTAAGGAAGTTTTCGACAAGCATTGCAACACTGAACCAAATCACTGCGCATCCCTGCCCCGCCTCCCCCACCCCAAGCAACCCACCGCAGTGGCGGTGAGTCCACCCCTAACGCAGTTCGCCGGAACACCCGCCCCACCCCACCCCGGCCCGCCCCGCCCCGCCCGGCCTAGACCCACATTGTGCGTATGTGTGTCGGCAGTGCTGCGTCGGTGTGCGTGAGGCAAAGAAGGGCCGGAGGGTGGGAAAGGAAGGTTGGGAAATCTGTTGCAGTAATTTACGGCGCGAGCTGGCGCTCTTTACCCCTCGAGGGGGAGGGAGAGGGGAAGGGGGGGAGGGAGAGGGCAGCTCGTTAGAGTAAGCTATGGCTGCTTGTGACGTGACGAGAACTCTCCGTGGCCCTGCGCGTCCCGACGCCGCGCCGACGGACGGACGGGCAGACAGACGGACAGACAGACAGACAGGCAGACAGGACACACGGACGGGGAGGGTGGCGGTGGCGCCTAATCGCAGGGCGGAGTGACACGGTCTCTTTTTTTTCGAGTGGTGGAGCGCGGCCTCACCGTCACGCTTTTCAACCCCTGGAAAAGTCCAGGCAGAACGTCCAGGCGTCCAGGGCCGACTCCAGGACTGGTCACGGGACTGGCTTCTAGGATTGGGTCTGGGACTGGTTAGGTCAGGACAGTGACTAAGCCTGCTCCAGAAAAGGCTATGACAGTGTGTCCAGGACTACTTCTAAGCAGGACTGACTCCAGGCAGGATGTCTCCAGGCCGGCTCGGCCGTCCCGCACTCCGGGCGTTACGCGATCGAAAGGCGCGACCACACCTGGCGGCATGAATAATCAATGGGGCATGCAAATGGGCCGATGACTCTCATTAAAAGCTCGCCGGCTAATTAAAAGCCGGAAGCGCGGCGGAGCGGCGGAGCGCGGCGAGTGGAAGAGGGAGGCCGACGCGCCGCCGGACACTTCGACGCCTCTCGGGCCGTCTCTCTCGCACTCGTGGGGTGTCCCGTGGGGGTGCGACAGAGAAGGAGACGGAGTGAAATCACTCTGCTGGCTGATCGGGACCACGTCTAGCCGCCAGACGGCGCCGGCAGTCGCCGTCGAGGCCCGCGCGGGTCGGCCCACAGTGGGTCAGAGGACCGGTGGAGGCCGTCGAATTTCCGAACGCGTTTTGAGCTCCAGAGTCGCTAAATGGGACTCGAACCGAACGTGTGACCCCACCAATGGATTGCTCTCCGGACAACGAATCCATTGGTGGGGTCACACGCTCGATTCGAGTCCTGCTTAGCGACTCTGGAGCTCAAAACGCGACTAGAATTTTGTCCGCAGGCGCCCGTCGGCCCACTGCGGCCGGCCGTTCCGAGGTACTCGTTGCGGTTGCGGTTTCGGGTTTCGGCGGGGCCGCCTGCCGCAGGGCGCAGCAGGGCGCGGCCAGGCGCAGTGAGCGAATATATCAGCCGGCTCACGGCCTCACGGCCCCCAAGACTCGGCCCGGCCGGCCCGGCCCGGCCACTTGGACGAGCCAAGGCCCCCTGGAGACTGTCGGGTCGGGCCTGTCCGGGGTCAGCAAATCGCCTGTTAGGCAGCAGGGCAGTCCACACTCGGGGTGAAGGGGGCCGCAGGGAGCTGGATGCAAATAGGAATTGGCCTTGTAAGTGTGTGTGTGTGTGTGTGTGTGTGCTGGGCGCGCGCCGCCACCACCACCGCGTCAGGCGGGAACAACGGGGCCCTACAGTACAAAGTGTAAGTGTCGTGGCGGACGCACTTCCACGACTGACTACTCCCTCCTCCCCACCACCCAGAAAACTTTTCAACTTTTCCTCCTTCCAACTAACTTTCCCTCACTCGGCGGCTCCATATCGAACCGTGGCACTGCCACAGGACCACGGCCTTGCAAGGGGGCGGAACAAGGAGGGGGGGGGAGGGGACGACCAGGGGGTGACCACGACAACGAGGCCCCCGAACTCGGGCCGTGCCAAGGGAGGCACGCCGAGTATTGCTTCCCCCCCCCCTCCCCCCGCATTGTCTAGTGGACTTTCCCTTTTCCCAACATGCATTCATGCCGATCAAATAAATTATGAGGCCTGGTCGAGCAGGGCGGTTCAAGAGTCCGCTGATTGGTGTAAGAACGGAAAGGGGGAGGGGGAGGGTGGGCTGAAGGTCATGGAGGTGGTTGGGGGTAGGGGGACCCTGGGGAACTATGCGGAGAGAGAGAAGAGAGAGAGAGAGAGAGAGAGAGAGAGAGAGAGAGAGAGAGAGCCAGCGCCGAGGCGCAGCGCACCGCATGTATAAAATAAATTAGAGGCTTCGTGCTTCTTCTGCTGCCAGTATAAAGCCAAGTAGAAAAGCCGGTTTGTTATCAGAGAAAACTGGAAAGGTGCGCCGGCTGACTCTTTTATCCGCGTTTCCCATTTTTCAGACGCGAAGAAACGGGGCTCTATATGCTGCTGCAAGAGGGAGGGTGCGTCGAGAATGACACACTTTCCGCGAGAGAACCAGAGGCCCTTTAAAACAATGGTGAAAACGAAACGCAGCAGGTGCCGTGGGGAGTTGAACCCGGGACGCGCAGGCGAAAGTAAAATACAGTGTCAGGCGCCTGAGCCGCGGCGACGAACCGCGCACCCAATGCCGAACCAATACATCACCTGTCGACCTGCTCGCTGTTCGGCCGGCGCCGCCGTCATCCAAATCCACAGCCCTGGCGGCCCCGCAGGCCCTGCAAAAGAAGGAGACATCGACACCGTTAGAAAAGCCCTTGCTCCTCCGTGCTCTGCGAGGCGGGCTCCCCTGGTTCCCCTGGTTCCCCGCACGCGCCGCGCCGCCGTCTATTCCGTGCCCAGGAAATGGGGTCCTCGCCGAGTCACTGCGGCGCCGTGCGGCGGCCCCAAAACGTCCCGGCGTCCCGGCGGGAGGCGCGCCGTTTACCTGAATGGGGCGAAGGCGCCGCGCAGCGCGCGTCGTGTCCCCTTGTCTGTTTCCGCCGCCGAGCCAGCCGAGCCAGCGGAGCCAGTAGTGTAAGTGGTCAAAGCCCGGGCGGGGCGGGGAGGGGGCCCCCAGCCACCTTGTCTCCTGGGGCCGGCGGCGGCTGCGGTGGCAGAGGGAAGGATTGAGAAAGTGGTTCCGGTTGCCGGATGCGGGCCCAGCCAGCCCCACCAGGCCCCACCAGGCCCGGAAAGGTGCGAGTGGCTGTGCGCTGCGCCTCCCGGACGCATCACAGCCAAGCGCACCAAGTGCCGCACAGTGGGCGAGAAGGCCAGTGGAGGCGGCCAAAGCTCTAGACGCGTTTTGAGCTCCAGAGTCGCTTAATGGGACTGGAACCAAACGTGTGACCCCACCAATGGATTCCTCGTTCGGAGAGCTATCCATCGGTGGGGTCACACGGTCGGTTCGAGTCCCATTTAGCGACTCTGGAGCTCAAAACGCATCCAGAGTTCTGGCCGCCTCCACCGGCCTTCTGGCCCACTGTGCCGCACCAAGGCCGCCGCCGAAAAAGAGTTCTCCGCTTCCGGTGTGGGGATCAGCGCCTCGACGGCGTCCTCGTGGTGGGGAGGATGAGCCTCTCGTTACCCAGCTCCATGGCGCGGAGGCCGCGGGGTGGAGGCCACGGCCTTGGCCACGGCCTCAACGAAGCGGCGCAGGCACGGCCTTCTCCACGGGCGACTCCAGGTGCACGGCCCAGGAGCCATCCTGCAGCCTCCGAACACGACGCTCTCTCTCTCTCTCTCTCTCTCTCTCTCTCTCTCTCTCTCTCTGTCCCGCACCCCACCGGGACGCCGACGAAGCCTCACCAGCGAGAGAGAGACAGCGCGACGGCTCGGAATCAGCCAGCCGGGGCGGCCGTGACCACATTCCTGACTAAAGAGGCCCACGGGAGCGACGGAGGGAGTGGCGCTGCGGTGGCGGCGGGTGGCGGTGTCACCGCGAGGCCCCCGTCGTCCTCCCCGCGCCGAGCAAAGTGCCCTCCACCCCCTTTTCCAGTGTGCCCCCACGGCCCGGGGGCAGCGAGCCGCGGGCGAGGCATTGGTTTTCAATTGGAGCTCGCCGCGCTGCGCTGCGCGCCGCCGGAACTCCGTTCAAGTATCGCCGGGGAAGCGCGCGGAAAAAAACCGGCCTGGCCCGGCGGAGCAATGCAATGCAGGCACGCCGAAGCACGCCGTCGACGCGCACCACCTGCAGCAAGCCAGCCACCCCGGTGAACCTCGTGCACCGCGTGGTGGAGCAAGGGCGGCACTTTGGGGCGACCCGCCTAGCCCTCGCCATATTTCAACATCAATTACTGGCACCGCCATGCACACTGGGGCCCTCGCCCCACCCCTGGGGCCGCCCCGCCCCCCCCGCCCCGCCCCGCCCCGCCCCGCCCCGCCCGTGTCCATGGCCGAGAGGCCGAACAATATCGCAGACGAACACAAAGCCGCCGGGAAGGTATGCAGCCCGCGCGGCGCGTAGCGTGGCGTACCTGCCGTGCCGGCGGCGGCGGTTATTTACTGTGGCCAGCCCGTCAGCTCCTCCTGGAGGCCCTGCAGGCCCTGCAGGCCGTGGAGGGCGGGAATTGGATTGAGGGCAACTCAACTGCCAGCCCGCGGGGCGGGGCGGGGCGGGGCGGGGGGGGGGATCCGCGGCGAGCCCCTCCTTGACCCGGCCGGGCAGCAGACGCCAGGCAGGCGGGCGGACTGGAAATACTTTCCACCAGCTCCCCCCGAAAAGAGAGACAAAAAAGCCTGACTTGGTCCTTGTTGGCCACTGGGCTCGCCACCGGGCCGAGAGGGAGAGCGATAATTCGGATCGGAACGTTTCCCCGATCCGGGAGGCAGCCTGTCCGCCAGGTGAGCGGCAGCGCGGCGGCGGCGCGGCGGCAGCAGGTTGTCTGCGGCTTAAGAGCGGGGGCGGGGATCAGGGAGCCTTTCTCGAGACAAGGCCAGCAGGCGAGTTTGAGGGGCCGAGGCGAGCCGAGGCCGAGGACCACCAGCCGCCCCGCCCGATCACT